TTGACCTTAAAAACTGTCCAATCGGCGTATGAATATCGGAATTTCGACCAAAATTGTTGGATTTTTTCGACTCACCGTCGGTCTGATGCCGTCACTAATGAATAATCAAGCAAAAAAGCAATAAAACTTACTCGAATCTTATTCTCAATCCAACCAGCAAACTTTCGTACGATGGTGACTATGCATTTGCTGCACATTCCCTAAAGTTTCGAAGCGGATAAGATTGAGTTTTTGGGTGAACGACTGTTACTAAGTGACCATATGCGTTAGTACACTTACGATTAGGTGAAATAAATCTATTTGGTTAATTTAATACCTCCAACTGAAATTCCATTAGGTCTTCCGTCCCATCAATGCTCTAGTCTCAATGCTTTCTATTCGATATGAATTCTTTCTGCTCGATATTCACTCCAAACTTTATTTGAGGTATGAACAGTTTCAGAAGAGCAATTTAATTAAAACAAGCGAAAGTCAATGATTTCAAGAAGTGGTATTAGGTGATAGAACAGATATAATTAAAAACGAAATTTGAAAAGCGGCAAATCATCGGGACGATGATAAGTCTCAGACATCATTCGGAAAATACGAGTCTACTTCAGATCAAATTAGAATCAATGTTAGAAGGCATGAGATGATATTATGTATTCATTCATAATCAAATCGATCAAGGACATAACTTCAAATTAAGGTTCAACTGAATTGAAGATTGATGAAAATTATTACATCATAAAAATGAGATATTGTGATAGGATGAAAATGATGAATTATAAAAATGATATCAAAATACGAACAACACAACATAAATCATATTAGTCGTTCCCTTCTAGCGAAGTACATCAAGTAAGCAATGACAATTCACTTAAGAACAGTCCACAATTTCATAAAAAACAGATGTATTCATTAGGGAACCGAGGAAATCATCAAGAAACTCTCTCAGAGTCGCAATTAAAATTTAAAAAGTTCCACCACCTCAAGATCTTATCTTCCAATACAAGCATGCAACGGATAGGAGGAAAACTCACTACATCCAAATGAAACAATTCACATGATCAAAAACAATTTTTATTATCAAATTATGAATTTTCGAAACCAACAACTGCTTGCATGAATGAAAAATCAAACTATAGATGGAATGCAACGGGAAAAAAGTGAGACCCAAGCAAAGAGAACAGTGAAAATTCAGCGTTAGGATACTGTGAAAATGATTCTTTTCTGACGATCCAACATAAAAACGCCGTTTGCTGTATATGTGTCAATGCACTGTTGCACGATATCATCATGAATGCCTTTTGATGCACATTTATTGAACGCATCTTGCAGTGGAACGGCATGCTGATCTTGACTTGACGCGTGATAAAGGTCTCTGATTACCGAGAAGGCCATATCCACCGGTGAGACGCGATGACGCGACTGTTTTGGTTCTGGACGCAGTGAAGCTTTACAAACCTGAAAATATCATCGCATCAGCAACACCACAATCATTATCCAAATCAGAAAATAAACCACAAACCTCAACAAGACGAATTGCCTCATCAATGTCACCAATGTGAACGGTATCAGATAGACGCAGACGTGCCAATGCAGTACTCATTCGAATAATGGCCAACAAACTTCTAGGTGAAGTGAACATTGAATCCTTAAACGACCTTTTTTATTTCAAACCCATCGTGATTGATAAATCAAGTAATAATTTTGTAAATCACAAAATCATGGATGATCACAAAAAATCATTCATCACCCAATAAAGAAACAATTCAAAAAT